ATGCTTGTTTGGGACAACAAATGAGCTTACTATGAAAGTCATGCAGCTTATCACTGGAAATCAGAATTATCTTCAGAATTTTCCTTGTAGGCCTGCCTCCAATCCCATCTGAAATTGGTCTTCTGCTGAGACAGGACAGTAAGAGTCATGTCTGGCCATGAAGAGCTTGATACAAAGTAAAAAAAATTCCGAAGAATTGGAAATGTCACCAGGTAGAGGTGGCTGGCCAAGGTGATTTACTAATTCAGCAACAAAGCCAGGACCAGACTTCTCTACCATTGTCTGTGCTCATAAACATATAAATTGGGGTCAGGTTTTAAACATAACAGAGCACTTAACTTCATGTTTTTGGGAGCTCACTTTAAGTGACCTCCGAAAAAAAACACCCTCAAGATGTTAACTTACTTAGGTGCTTCTCCTCTGAAAACTAGCAAAGTTCCAGCTTTGTATTTACACCTTCTAGATCAGAGGAGAAAAAACTTTGGCTTTGAAAAGGCTCCCACAACTGCCTTAAACAACCTCATTCATTATGTCTGCAGTGTGATTGTTCGAAGTACACAGCATCATTAAAGTAGCTCAGACTACAATTGAGGATGGCAACTTGTTATTATATTTTTAATGAGTGCATTCCTTCACTTATTTATTTTACCAGTAAAGCGTGGTTTATGGCACGTGGCAGATTGTTACAAATGGGTCAAATAAATGCTTTCCAGTCATAATGATGTTTCAGGAGCTCACTATTGCACTTTTGAAACTGCTGATACGAAATATGAAAGTGAAAGCTCATCTCGGGATTTATGGTGGACAAATACAACACAGCCAAACATTTCCCACAGCAAGTAACTAAGCCTAGGGGCTGCTGAGGCAAGTATATTCTAGGACATGGTGTATGAGTGGACTGAATGTTATGGGGATTGAACCTTCCTACAGGTGATTTTGTTATTCTTTTCTTGCTCTTTTCTTATTCTCGTGGGGCACATCCTCTGATAACTTTGAAATGCAAGCAGTGGGGTGGTGGAAGCTGGTTCCTTTTTCTGTCTGCACAAACAGTCCCTGATCCTGGCCAATATCACTGGGAGGGGTCTATTGAGACCAGAGGGGACTGGACCCTATGCAGGGTATCAGGTGGAGCTTGCTGTCTCACTAAACCAGACATATGCACACTGAGTATGCAAAGGTGAATAGAGGGACTTCTGCAGTGTCTGCAGTGAGGATATATAAAGCTGTTCCTGGCAGCAGCAGGCAGTCAGGAACAGTAGCACTGTGAGCCTGAGAACAGTGAACAAGGCAACACGTTTATTAGAGAATTATGAAGAACTAAGGGAAATCTTTTGTAGTTCTCAATAACTATAGCTCAGACTAAATGCACTGAAGAAATCAGTGTCCTGGAAAACATTCTCCATCTGAGGAACCCCAGTGCTGCCCTACCCCTGGGTTTGCCCCTGGCTCTAGTCAAACTGGACATCCCACTGGGTACTATGGGATATCTTTGTGCTTCCTTTCTGGGCATCTCTTGCTCTTTTCTAAGTGCTCTGCTCAGTGCCCTCTTCTAGTTCTGTCCTTTTGTGTTACTGATCCTGTGACAGCTGCTTCTGTCTTTTCCATTCACTGCCCTTTGATCTCTCACTTTTCTCCCTTCCTCTTCCCAAGGAGGTCTTATTTTTGCAGGGAGAATTTTGTCTAGACCCTCATAATGCAATCCAGAAACAAGTGCAGATGATCTCCACTGTTACAAGAGAGGCACTGGGCTCTTGATAACCAAAGAGTGTAGGCAGAAGAGAGCAATCCCTATTACTATGACCAATGGTGAAGTGGCAAATGCCCTTGCACTACTACAAAGTGACTCACCATATCATGGCACAACAGATTATGCTCATTGTCCCCAGTGTGTTGTGACACACTGCTACATTCAGTAGCTTTGCAAGCTGAAGACTAAGGGGCAGGCATTAGCACAACAGAGCCAAATATCCAGAGGGACTCATAGTACTAGGAGAAGAAATATTTTCTCCCTGTTGATTCTATCCATGCACAGAAGTGCAGTGAGAGGCATTATGTACTGGTTGTACTTGGAGAGGGCGAGAGCATGGCTTGCAAAGAGCTGTCTGCAAGGAATTATTTTCTGGGGTTACTACGTGGATCTGTAACTCAAGTGGAAGTCACAGAAAAAGAGAATTCCTACCGGATATGGGGCTGTGATTAGGGGCCTAGTGAGTAGGGTTGTTTGACTTACTCTTGCCTTTGCCCCAAAGCCATAGGGGTTTCAGTAGTCTGACCCAAATGGTATTTTGTGTGTGTCCCTGCTCCAGACAAAGGCAATATTAAAAAAAGAGGATAGGGTAAGAGAGAAAAAGAAAGAGTGAAACTACAGGGTAAATACAATTACATAATTTGCACCTGCTTTTATAGTGCAAAGATTGTGGAGTTCTTGAGTTGCTTAGATGTAACATCAAAAATATTATAGCTAGACACAAAGGTGAATGTGTAGACAAACTGCACAATTAATGAGATTTATTTGGGTCTGAATGATGTGGATGTCATCCCTCTACAGATTTTGATTGTCCTGCTTTGCTATTTTCAGGCAACAAAGCACATTCTGCTACAGGATATAATGGTCTGAACCCACATTTCAGGTTTTTTTTGTTGAGTATGAAAAAGTATCTAAGAGCAAAATTCAGGCATTAAACAATATATGGCAAGTCATAACCATAGCTTACTACGGTAACATACATAATACTGCAGCACTCTTGGCCACTTTTAGAATGAGAGATATATCATAAAAGAAAATTGTTTGGAAGATGCTGACTTTGAATGGCACTGGCATGTTCTTTTCTTCTCTACAGTGTTAGTGCAATTGAATGCTCAGCTTTACTATTTTATTTCTATCCTTGCATTTAGAAATGCAGAACCACAGGGCAGTGCCAATAATAGATACTACAGAGTAATGTACAAAAAATCCTATAATGAAAAATGATGGGATAAGCTGCCCAGTGATGAAAATTTCTTTCTAACCCCAAGCAATTAGTGGCTGGATTTTATAATAAAGCATGAAAGTTTGTGTCCTTTCTACATTTTTATCCAGTCTAATGTGACCGTGGATGTTCTCATTATCCATACAAATGTCTAATCCTTTTTTTTTTTTTTTTTTAGTGTTGCTAAGCTCCAGGCCTCAATAAAGCCTGTGGCAAGGAGTAAAGTTTTGGTGAGTGCATAAATGCTCATTAGGAGGAGAAGAGAACAAGATGGAGCAAACACATGCCTTGTCCTACACCCAACCTGCTACAAAGGAACTTGCTGTAAGAGATTTATTGCTAGTGGGCACAGGCAGAAGTAAAACGAGAGGTGAAGGCTTGGCTGACCACTTTATACCTCTGCTATCACTTAGGATGTCATTGAGTTGAGGGAAAGTTGAGCACCAGGAAAGACCAATATATTGCGGAAGACATGCTGAGATAAATCCAAATGTTGTACAAAATAAAATATTTGCATGTCAGATCTTTTGGCAGAGGGGAGACCCTCTATCTGAAGAGAAGAGAAGCAAAGATGACTTTCACCTTTCAGTCTGTTATGCTTCTGATGTTTGTGCATGGACTTACTATGAACTGCTGGCTGAGAAAGCCTCTCCAGAATCAGAGAGAATTGGATTAAGGCCATTGACTTTTATATAATATTGCATGAAATGCCTAACTTAAAGTTTTCTTTAATTACGGGGGTATTTAGAGATAGTAATAAAAGCTAAAGTCATTACAATTCATCTAAAAATATCATATTTTCTCTGATATTTGCAGTAATAGATTGTGGACAATTAGCCAACAGGAGTCAGACAAACCAGTGAAAAAAATAACATAGAAATAAATGAATAAAAAGAGCAATGATAGGCTGGCAAATAGGTAAATACTTAAATGGGTAGAGGAACCAACTTTCCTGCTGTTATGGCTGAGCTCACTGAGCACACTAAAGCTTCATCCAATCTTCTGATGCCTCCTTTAGCTGCCAAGACTGCTTATTCCTCTACACTGCCACAAACATATATACATGCCTAAATTTTAACACAGTAAGTTCCTTGATTTCAATTCTGCTTAAAGTTCAACTCATGGGCTAAATGTTTATCAGATCTGTGTGTATGGGGAAATTATAGCTATTTTTTCAATATTGTTGATATTTCTGGGTATTTCTTTGATGTATCCACAGGTTTTCTTTCAGTGACTTTGAGTAGCAACTCAAAGCAAGACTTTTGTACTTCTTTGTTATGAGATTTTTTTCCTTGCAGTTCATAAAGTCCCCAGTGATGTCGACTCTTACAAGTTTTCAGGACTGGTTGAGGTGGAAAGAATTTTTTTGTTAGGGTGTTTGTGGGCTTTTTGGTTGGAGTAACTGTCTGATTTCTTGACAGATTGGATTAATCTGAGGTAAAATATGCCTTTGCCAGATGGTAGCTAGGATCAATTATTAAAATTTATTTAAATTATATTGTTGTGATTGGTATTATTAGTGTGTATACAGTCAATGGTAAGAAATGTCTTTCCAGCTCCAGCTTCTAGCAGAAGTCTTTATCAAATCCCGAGAGAGCTAGAAAAATATAAGTCCACATTAAGAACTTGTAAACCCCTAAGTTCTTGGTGATTACAGCCTCACATTGTCCATATATCTGTTAAGTACAGGCACAGAGGTAGATACATATTCTTTAACCTCCCCCATTCATTTCTGACGTCAAAATCACCCCATCAGGACTGGCATCTTTTGAGATGGTCGCAGTCCATGAACCCTATCAGCTGTCTCCAATGGCGTGACATGATAGGTTGAAGCTGAGCCTGTTATGTGTCAGCTGAACTGGCTTCAGTCACCAGCCCTGGTAAGGCTTGAGGGTTTGAATGCAGCAATTGTTTTGGAAACTAGCGCAAGCTGCCTGATACAGAGAATAATCCTTCTGAAGTAGCTGATGCTACAGACCTTTCCCTAACACTGATGAAGCAGGCTGTGGGCATGGCAATGGTCTGGCTTACCTGGGTAAGGGTGTATGCCATTTGCAAACACTGCTTCTGCGGCGGGCTGCCCGTTAGCCTGCGGCGGGAGGCCAGTGAAACCATTCACCCCAATGGGAGATGGGATGCTAGGCACAGCTGGTGCAGTTATGCCAGGAGGCGTGCTTCCACCTGCAAGGAGGGAAGAACACAAAATCAAAGCTGATGAGTACTGGAAGCAATAACCATGTAGAGAAAGCTCCTGATGCAACAACTATGATCACCACTCAGAAACCTTACGATATTTCAAGAAAAGAAAAATCTTCCAAGCTTTCTCATGAAGAAAGCAACCACTCACATGATTGCAGGCTAAACTTACCATTGCTTTTTTGTTTGGAAAGCATTTAACATAAGAAAGGTTTGGAAAGCTTTTTTCAACAGACAAAATTTGTTTGGTGATCCTCATCTCTAAGACTAGATCCACAGCTAACATCATGCAGTACAAGACAGCAGAAATACTGCCATTCCTCCTGAGCTCTCTCCCTAGAGTACTACATGTTTGATGACTTAATAAGCAGACATTTCTTTCCTAGATATCATTTAGCACCAAAAGCAAATTAACAGTCCCACTTTTCTACAGTTTCTCTTTGGAGATGTCAGCTTTGTGGGCGTAGTGATTTTCAGGGCCACTCTTTCTGCACTCTCTCATGAATACACACGTAGTGTGCAAACTAATTTTGAACTCCAGCATCAGGGATACTTAAAATATTTGGCAAGTTCATTTGTGGCCTACATACAGATAGCAATACATTTTTAGTGTTGCTGTTTTGGCCCCGCCTGAATTTGTAGTGTCAGCAGAGATCTCTGACAGAAAAGGGGCAAAAATTAAGCTACAGTTTTCCTCCATGGAACTGTGTTCCTCCATTTCTTTCCAGACTCATCCTGTGGGGGCTATAATGCTATTGCAGAGGAACAATTTAATCATTATGTTTTGGGTGGGATCCTGTCACCCACTGATGAAGAAATCTTAAAATTTTGTGGGGGGAATTAAATCCCTCTGCTACCTTACTGTTTTCTCCTATGTGTATTTGAAAGGACTGGACAATCTGTGCTACTTGAAATGTATTCAGGATGTTTCCAGAGAATAAAAATGAGTTTTCAATGCGTATGAAATTGTATTTTTCTCTTGCTGTCTGGGGTGCGAAGTTAAACTCTCTTATCTTCAGTAATATCTTCCTGTGTCAGGATGTACTACTGATTGCAGGAATCCCTTTTTTAAACCAATTGCAGAAATTTTCCTCACAATCACAGCACTCCATGATGGGTTAGTCCAATAACACACTTTAATGACTGCTTAAATCTGTGCTGGTACTTTAAGAGAACTCATACAGATTAATGAGCTGCTTCTGTATGTTCTGATTTCAGCAGCCCAAGAAGCATGCAATACTTTGTCTCTTTTCTTACACTCTGAGCAGACAAGCTGCTCCTTCCTCTTTCCTTATTTAAATGGTGTTGGCCTCAGTGGTGGTGCTGGGAGCCAGTGGTGGCAACCTGAGTCCAAAGGCAATGCTCTCAGCATATGCCATCAGCTTGCAAATCACAAAGGCTAGTTAAAATTTCAGTTGCTTTTCTGGATCTCTCTTTTATTTGCATAGGCAATGTAAGTAATGTTTTCTAAAACTGCAGCAGGGGATTTGAGCTTGCTATTTTGTGCAAGCGTAAGGAAGTTTAGGAATATTCATTGCAATTCTTTAATTTTCTTCCTATAAAGAGCCCCCTGGAGAGGTCAGATCTGTAGCTGCAGTAAGACTGGCATAATGCCACTACAGAAAACAAATGTCAGTGGTGCATGCCAGTTTTGGATTTCATCCTCAGTTTGAGATATCTTGCTGAAGCTACACCAGGTGCAGATTTACAGCATGGAAGGAGGAAGAAGAAAAGAAGAAAGAAAGTCTAAAGGGAATTTCATTTCTAGTCCTCTCTTTGCAGTAAGCAGAGCATCAGAAACATCTCAGAAGACCCAACTTTTCCTCATATTATATCAAAGACAGGAGAAAAGGAATCACAGAATCACAGAATCACAGAATCGTAGGGTTTGGAAGAGACCTCCAGAGATCATCGAGTCCAACTCCCTGCCAAAGCAGGTTCCCTACACCAGGTCACACAGGTAGGTGTCCAGGCAGGTCTTGAACATCTCCAGAGAAGGAGACTCCACCACCTCCCTGGGCAGCCTGTTCCAGTGCTCCGTCACCTCACTGTAAAGAAGTTCTTGCGCACATTTGTGCAGAACTTCCTGTGCTGCATTTCTGGCCGTTTCCCCTTGTCCTGTCACCATTCACCACTGAAAAGAGTCTGACCTCACCATTCTGCCCCCCACACCTTAGATACTTACAGACCTGGATCAGGTCCCCTCTCAGTCTTCTTTTCTCAAGGCTGAACAGACCCAGTTCACTCAGCCTTTCCTCATAGCAGAGATGCTCCAGGCCCTTCACCATCTTTGTGGCCCTCCGCTGGACTCTTTCCAAGAGATCCCTGTCTTTTTTGTACTGGGGAGCCCAGAACTGGACACAGTACTCCAGATGAGGCCTTACCAGGGCAGAGTAGAGGGGAAGGATCACCTCCCTTGACCTGCTGGCCACGCTTTTTTCAATACACTCCAGAATGCCATTGGCCTTTCTGGTCACAAGGGCACACTGCTGGCTCATGGCCAACCTGTCATCCACCAGGACATCCAGGTCCCTCTCTGCAGAGCTCCTCTCCAGCACATCATCCCCCAACCTGTACCTGTGCATGCAATTATTTCTCCCCAGATGCAAGACTCTACGCTTGCTTTTGTTAAACCTCATCTGGATTTTTTCTGCTCAGCTCTCCAGCCTGTCCAGGTCTTGCTGAATGGCAGCACAGCCTTCAGGCGTGTTTCAGCCAATCCTCCCAACTTGGTATCATCAGCAAACTTGCTGAGGGTGGCCACTCTCCCCTCATCAAGGTCACTGATGAAGATGTTGAACAAGACCGGACCCAGCACAGACCCCTGAGGAACACCGCTGCTTACAGGCCTCCAACCGGACTCTGCACCGCCAACAGCGACCCTCTGCGCTCTGCCAGTCAGCCAGTTCTCAACCCACCTCACCATCCACTCATCTATCCCACACTTCCTCAGCTTTGTTATAAGGATGTCATGGGAGACAGTACTAAATGCCTTGCTGAAATCAAGGTAGACTACATCCACTGCTCTCCCCCCATCTACCGAGCCAGTGACAACATTGTAGAAGGCCACCAGGTTGGTCAAGCATGACCTCCCCCTGGTGAACCTATTCTGACTGCTCCTGATAACCTCCTTCTCTTCCAGTTGTCTGGAGATGGCATCCAGCACAAGCTGTTCCATCACATAAACTACAAATATACACCAAACTTCCAGAGACATGAAATTAATATCCTTGCAGTTGCAGAGTGTTTTGTGAGATGAAGATAATAGGGAACCATCAAAATACAGGGAGACAGCATGAAGTTACCATGCTGAATTGCCCACTGTGACTGCCTACTGCTCAGCATTGACTGCAGGCAAATAAGATGACTACACTAGATGCATAACTTTTGTACAGTTAAAGTCTGGTGAGTTGCATCCTGTCTCTTGCCTGTTTGATCTGCCTGGATCCAAGGCTCATTAAGTTCCTGGGTCCCATGGGAACTCGTGAACATGAATGAACTCATGACCATGTTCTGAGGAACCCACTGTCCTGGAGGCTGGATTAGGAATGCATCAGAAACAGGTTATGGTCTCAGAACATGAGGGGCCTGAAGATAGAAACTCAGAGGCGCTGTGCTCAGCCAGCACCTCCGATGCCTTTAGGACTTCTGTGTTAGCAATGTCTTTTTTCTAGCACAATTTTTCTTTTGCTTAGGAAAGATCAAAACACTTCTTTTTTTTCTCTCTCTCTCTCTCTTTTTTTTTTTTTTTTTTTTTTCACAACATTCCAAACACTTTTTCTAATGCCTGTTTTTCAGAGAACTTTGAAATGTTTCATTTTCATTCCAAGTCAGAACAAAGATATACTTCAATGACTGGAAATCCTGCTATGAAGCAGAATGATCATTTTCCATTTGGCTTTCTGAATGCTAACAAAAGCCAGCAGGAGAATTCACTTTAGGCTTCAGATATCTCCTGGCTACTCAGAAATTGCTGCGAGTGTTGTAGACTTGCTTGCTCAGACATATGTGAAACATTTTCTATGCATCTTATCACAAGCTTTGTAAGTGTTGTGGTAATACAAGGAGTCATTTCAAAGTCTAAACATTTCACCCAAGGAATAATTGTCAATGGACATTTCCACAACCCATTACAGAGGTTTTTCGTGAAGGAAGCTACACATTCAAGGTAAATCTGCAATAATGCCAGAGTGCATAGGCTCCAGGATTGAAAATATGTCATGAGAAGAGTGCAAAATCTGCCACCATGAAAGAGATCAAGGGATCATCTAAACTGGAGCCTTATTTTCAATAATGACTAGTCATAGGTTCTCTGAAAAGCATGTAAAAAACATGAGCTCTCTTTCTTCTTCTGTATTCTGACAATAGTTCCCAAAAGGTAGTGGGCACATCAGAAAAGAGCTTACACGAAAGAAGAGCTGGGATATTTTTCATTTGCTGGATGTTGTGGCAGGCACAGAATTTGGCCATCATGATAGTATTCACACACCTATGTCACAGAATGGCTTATTTTCAAGACATTTATATGCGAAAGTGACTGTGCTTGTTTGTGGTGGAGACATCACAAACCACTGCCTGGATTCGGCTTTCCAAGCCCTGAGAGCATTTGAATTCCAAGCATTCCTTGTTTGACGTTCTCTATGCTCCCACCAACACAAAACAAATCTAGCTAATGCAAATATGATAATCTTTCCAGCAGCGGGTTTAAAGGGTGCACATATAATTAAGCCACTTTTCTATTTGGATTTGCAGTAGCTTCATCGACTCACTGTTTATACGTTTATCGCTATGTAAACATATATTTCAAAATGTATGGTGTAAGATTTTTGAGTCAAGCACTTTTCCTTGGCTCTCCATAAACTGCTGTGGAAATAGATCTCTCTTCCTGCCCTTTCTCCCCCTGCACCTTATATTCCAATAGCAGCAAAGGAGAAAATATATATCTGACCCTGTAGCTGCTGACATTGATCCAGCTAGAGATTGTAAAGAGATGATAAACTGTATGTTAATGGAGAAGTGGAGTTTTTTTTGGCAGACAGAGGTTAGCAGAACCAGATTCATTAGGAACAGCCCTTAAGCCTGCACTACTGTGGCACCTTGTCTCCTTGCCATCCAGTGTCCTTCCTGGCTGCAGTGTCAGTTGGTCTTTTGCTAACGGTGTGGATTTCTCTGTGCTTAGCAGTGAGGCTGCTCTCTTACCAATCTGCTCTGCAGGGGGAACCAGATCCTTCTTTCCCAGCACCAGTTGCACCGTGGCTGGCTCGTGCTCACCCCTGCCATATCTCAATCACTCAAAACTGTTGTCAAGCTGGTCCTCTTTAGGTTAGCTCAGTGCTTCAGGTTCATGTGTTGGCATTGCAATGCCTCTTCACTGAACTCAGTCCCATCTCCAGCACCTCTCATAGGAACAACTGGCATTGTCTCTGAAACACTTCTATCCTAAACTGTTCCCTAGAAATTATTCTTCTTCACTGTTAGACCCCTGTATCTTCTGCTCCCCTAACAGAGTCAGCAGTATATTGCAAACCCCTCCACATTCTCACTTCTTTTAAAGTTTGGCCCCATTTTTCCCAGCTACCCTGCTGTCCTTCAGTTAGGCCAGCAATCACTAAATAATTTACCTGTCCTGCCACTTCCTTGACCTGCATCTGTCCAAATGATTTCCTTGTTCTTCAGGAAAGCCAGTTCTGTTTACACCTCAGCTTAATTCTCTGGCCCCCAGCACTGTCTTCTCATGTCCTGCTACAGCCCAGCCAGCTGTGGGCCTGGGTCCTTCACCAACTACCTGTCTACTCTACTCAAGCTACAAAAAAATCTTCTCATCAAATACTTGCATTCCAGGTAGCATCAGATTTCCCTGAGTACCAGCAGCCCTATTTCACAGTAGGAAAAGGCTTATGCATCCCCAAAATACAGCTCATCTTATTAATTGCATTGCATCTCCCTACAAGTATTGTTCTGTTTGTGTCTGGACCAGCCTGGCTATGACAGCATGAGCACTTATCCCTTATACACATACTACCAGTAAGCAACTACTGGTCACTGTGGGATATTTTCATAGAGTTTATCAGGTTGGAAAAGACCTTAAAGATCACTGAGACCAACCACAACCTAACCCTAACTCTAACAACCCTCCACTAAATCATGTCGCTGAGCACCACATCACAATGGTTTTTAAAGACATCCAGGGATGGTGACTCAACCACCTCTCTGGGGAGCCTATTCCAGTGCTTTTGCGTCATTATTCCACTGTGCTAAGGAAAAGCTGTGTAGAGGATGATGCTGAAGGTCATGGTTGAGAGCTTCTTCCAGTACCTTACAATTCCCTCCTTCCAGCAAAATCCATCATATCCTCTCTCTGGTGTGTCTCATTCGCAGCATTCAGCTGTTGCTCAGCATGGAGCACTAGTAGCCCAACAGCTCACTGTTGGTGACCTGTTTGGCTCTGCTTCTGCACCTTTTTTGTGACCCAGATACTGACTCCCAGCTGCTCCTGCCCCTAGCAGAGGACTCCTGTTCCGGCCCCTCAAAATGATCTGGTCTGACCTCTCCTCCTTCCCTGTGGTAGCCTCTACCAGCAAGACCAGCATTTCAGAAAACACTTACAGAGGAACAAGCTGACAGTTAACATGTCCTTCGAGGTCTCCTGCCCCTTCTGCCACCCCTTCCATCCATCCAGGCCCCTTACCTGAGGTTGGAGTCATGGGGGCAGCTGCCAGGCCATTCATGTTCAGAGCCGCCATCTGCTGCATCTGAGCTGCAGCAAAGGCTGCCATGGGGTTCAGGTAGCCGCCCTGTGCCACCGAAGCCATGATCGCGGCTTGCTGCTGCATCAGCTGGAACAAAGAGAGCAGGGAAAAAATATCACGCAGTCACCAGCAGAGCAGCCTGGGTCACCAGCACCAGGAAGGAAACCATGTGCAAGAGTGTGAGGCATCTCTCCACTTGGAGATGCTAGTTTGGTGCATCTGTGGTAGCCCCCACCCTTGGCACTTCTTTCCCACTACAAGAGCGAGAAGCAAATTGCGTCAAATGTGTCTCAGAACATTGATGTGTCTTTATGGTTCCCACATTTCTAGCACTGTTCCCCAGTGTGGAGGTCTCCTGTGAACTGTACTCAACGTCTGAGTTCTTTTCCTTGCTGGGAACAGCAGAGAGAATACTTTAAGTGTTCCCAAGCAGAGAGATTTCATGGCCTATGTTGCTTGTATCAAAGCTCTGGGAAGGCACTGATGGCTGCTGATGGGAGACCACTGTATGTAGAGCAGTTAGAAATGAGGATCCCCAGTATCTCCAGAGCAGCAAACTTAACTAGTTCTCTGGGGATAAATTGATCTATTTTTATCTGTTGGTGAGAAAAATTGCTTTTTTTTTTTTTTTTTTTCATGCTGCTGTGAGGTCTCCAGTGGGCACTAAACTAAACCATGACCAAAAACCAGAGTCCATGTTAACCCAATTACAGCACCTATTTCCAACACAACCAAGCAGAGATACTCCCTGAAGAGCTATGCAAGAGAAGGGAGTTCCCCTGCTTTAGCAAGATTAATAAAGTGCAGTGGGAAAATCCCTGCATGGTAGTTTTGATCTGGGATGATTTCCTTAGTTTTAAGTTCCTTTTTTTTTTTAATTCCCAGAAAGTAATTAAAATATTGCCTCTTCTAAGGCTCTTAAGAAAGGCAGAAATGAGAAATACAAGTTGTATTTTCAGGCATTTTGCAGTAAGAGTTTTGGAGCAGAAAGGTGGTGAATGGCTAAGTATGCTAGAAATGCTTCCTGCATTAAAACCAGACTTTTCCATCATTATTTTACAATCGGAGCCTAGCTTTTAGATGGTGCAGTTCATGCATACAGTATGACTGCAGTGGGTTAGCTCATGAGATGAAGAGAAGAAAATTAGATGAATCTTCCTCTTGTCTCCTTCCCTGGAGCTGCAGAACGGGCCAGGCAAGGCACATCTGAGGTTCTGTGAGACAGCATCCACTCCCCAGTAAAGACTGATGGTGGAGGCTTAGAGAAAGTGTGAGGAAAGAGGATGAGTCTGAAACCTCATTTTGTTCATTCCCCAGCCACTGTTAACACGTGATTTGATGATAATAATGGAGAAGGAAACTATTTTTTTTCCAAAATGATTATAGAAGTGACTCATGTCTTTGCTGTCTACAGAATGAGTTTTACTCTCTCTGTGATTTCACTCTCTATCAAGAAATCACTCTCTGATGTTGTTGTTTAAGCACACGGGATACACTGTTCAGCATTAAATAGATCTTAAAGTCATGAAGTCTGATAAAGCTCCGACAAAGTCACAACAAAATCTGTTCCTTACTGTTTAACATTGAAATATTAGCTGAATTAGCTGCTCATACATATACACACTGGAAGAAATCCCTTAAATCATCGCTGTCATTCAACTGCTGAAAAATTCCTTGTCACCGCCTGCGAAGAGTCAAAATTAAAGGATGCTCTGCTACTGACCTGCTGTATAACTGTGGACAAATTGTGTATACTTGCCTTGATTTCTCCAGCTATTATATACTGGTGCACAGGATATCTATCTCCTCACGTAGGGGTGCCTTCAGATCTACAGATGAAAATTGCTGTACTAGAGCTGAGTACTATTATTTTTCATAGCCTCATGCAGATTGGTGCCAAGGTGGTGGCTTCCCCTTTGATTGTTAATTACCCTTTTTTATTGTACACTGCATAAGACACTTTCACATTTTAATTAGTGATATCCTGTTCTTTGTAATTACTGATGGAGTGATTAGACAATCTTTTCTATTATAGCACAAAGCTGATTCCTCTTTAAGGAGTACATTTGTTTCTAGGCATCACTGGAGTTTATTCTCCAGATGGGGTACCAAGCAGGTGATTTTATTAAGTATGCCAATAAAGTGAATGAGGAAAGGGAAATCCATCCATCTTTAACATTGGACTGACTCCAGCACTGGGTGTACTGACCCATATTTCATTTTCTGTGCTGGTATTTTACCTGGGGACAGCTGAGGATGCCACTATCTGGTTGCAGAAATGATGGCCAAGATCTGTGCCTGTAGCATCTATTTAGCACTGCTGACCAAAGCAGCATCTCTCTGAGATGGATGCAGTTGCAAGTGCTTGATTCAGCGGCAGTCTGGCCTTTGCTAACTTTTTTCTGCGTTCCTCCAAATCTGCACACAAAAAACATGGAGTTACCTACATGTGTGTGCCATAGTCAGTCTGGCTGACAGATAACAGCCTGGTATTTGAAGCAGAGACTTTCCTTAGGGCTTCTAGGCAGACAAGGAGACTATAATTTTGGCATTTCTCTCTGTCAGATTCAGTAACCTAAATACAGATGGCATTTCCTCTGAACTGGTCACCTATTGCTGTTGATGTAATAACAGACAAAGAGTTTAGGCCAAGATTTGTCTCTCCCTTCTGTACCCAGCTGCCTCTGGGCAGATGAATTTCAGCTTTGTTTCTCCCCACTAACTGCATGCAGAGCCTTAGGTGATCTGTTCTGCTGCACATAGTGACACAGCCAGGTGAAATCACTCCTACCCTTTGCTTGACCCTCAGCAAATATTTTTGGATGGCACTTTCCAGCCATTTAAAATAAAAGTTTTAATCCCTTTTTGTTTGTGTTTCACCTATGCTGCAAGAGACCCAAGGTTGTACCTATGTGACATTTTGTTACCAATCGTAGTACAAACGATTGTGCTGCTTCAAAGACAATCTCCATTTTGCAGTCAGCAGAGCTAAACAATCACTTGTGACATTATTTATGGCTTGTGCAACTTCTATTCCTGCTTATGGATGTCAATAAGATGTTCATCATTAACTCTACAATGGCAGGTGCTCCTCCTGGTTTGCCAATGGTGTTTGACTTCTAGTCTATTCAGAGGGCTTAAAGTTTGCACAGGAAGATGCATTTTGGGAGACATGATACATGCACGCTATTTAGTGCAGTATAATGCCATGCATGGCATTCTGTTATAGATCTTCAGAAAAGTATTTTCTCTCTTTGTGTGGGATATTCCTAACGTTCTTATTACTGCTTCTTACTACTGTGCAAGGACTATAGCTTAAAGCCTGGTGTGCTTCAGAAAAGCATTCAGATAAAACTGGTCATAATCCCATAGAAACTCAGGAGTTGGAGGAGCAAATAGGTTAATTTTAGTTTAGAGTCAAAAAGCTAATGCAGAAAAAAATAAGGTAGTAATTAAGGCTCTTAACTGTGTTTTGGGAAACTAGGTTCAGTTGCTTCTGGGATAGCAGGTATCTTGCAGGGAGAAGCCACCCATTTCTTCAATGCTCAGTGCTCTGGGGATACCTGAGCTGTCCTGGAGACCTGGAAAACCCCTTAGCATAGTGAGCAATTGAGCTGCTCATGACCCAGAGGACACACACATCACGACAGCTTTCATAGCCACCTCATGGGGTACATCTGGATATCCTCCAAGGCTGGAAGGAGTATAGCATCCCAACTCTGAACACAGGCACTAACCCTGGCTAAGTGGCTTGAGAGAGGACACCAATATTAACTGTATTTACAGACATCACAGCCGTTTGTGACACTCCTGCCACCTTTCTGCTTTCATGTTTCCCATTTGTGCATTGAAGAAGTGTTCCTTCCCTATTAGATTAAGGTACTCATAGATAAAAGCACCAAAGGGGAAGGACAACGGGACCTTTCCAGATCATCTTCTGGTGGTTATAGTGCCAAGTGCAGCAGTACTGTGGAGGCTGGAGGATGGAAACTCTCTCACCTTGAAAGAAGCTGATGAGAAAGACCTCAAGTCCTGTGAGGGTCATTGGTCTTTCTCATAAAACCACCAAGGCAATCCCAAGTGAGCTCAAACAAAAGTCACCCCTCTCCATCCCCGGCTCCCCCCAAAGACAAATGTCCCATCCACTCTCTTTTCACTTTGAAAGAGGCCCAGTGTATGATCCCAGTTAATAAAGCTATAGAAAGTGAGGCAGTGACCCCACCAGAGGCAAATCAATAGCAGCAGGGCCCCTGGGTATTGTGTACTTTAAAATATGCCATTTGAAATGCAGATTTTCCCTGCCTGAGCTGGGGCCACAGAGCACTAATCAGAAAGGCAGCAGTCTTATTATCTTAGGCTGTTCCAAGGGGATGGAAGGGAGCTATTTCTTTCCTCAGCTGAAAGGATGTATTTCCTTTTCTTCTCTTACTTCCTTGGCATGATCTTTGCCTCAGCATTTAGAGCTTTTTCCCATCTGATTTTATGGATTCATTCCACAAAATTCCTCCAACCTGTCTGTTATTTATTGCTCAAATATTTATCTTCTGAGGAGAGCAGGACAGTACCAAACTGGTTGATGTATAGAAACAGCAGCCTGCACTGCCTGTCCCAGGGCCTGAGAATCAATGAGGCAGCTGGAGAGGCACTGGTAAGGTCACAGAGGCATGAAGAGGAGTAACACATGATGGTGGGTCTCTAGGAAATGGTGGGAAAGTTCATGCCATATGTTTTTTGCTACCTCAAACAGAGGTGGCTGAACTGCAGTCAGCTTTATAATCAATGGATGAGTAGATACCTCCACAGTGTTTTCCATTCTATCCTACACTAAGAGATTAAGACAAAAAATAGAGAAGGATGCAGCTTTGCAGCACAACTGCACCAAAACAAGAGGTTACCAGTGCTAACAAGTGCAACAGTCTCCCAGTCTCTTGCTGCAATCCATGCCCCAGGACAGATGCATGTCTGACACTGTTGAGCATAATGCTCAGGGACACGAGCAGAGCATTAAACACATAACACAGAAACAAAGTGCGTTCTGCCAGTTTCTTTCCACAAGTACATCCCTTCATGGTCACTATCAGTCTGGA